CAGTCTCAATTTCCTCACTCCTTGCTGGGTTTCCCTATTCTACGTAGGGTTCTTTCCTGCACTAACATTCTGTGATTCTAACATTCCAAAGACGTGTATGTGTATATATACAACAAAAAGACAATTTTGTCTTCAATATCTAAAAGTAAGTACAGACTAAAACAAGACAACCAACCACTGCTGTGGAATAGATTCTAACTCAGAGACCGTACAGGACAGAGTAGAACTGCCCCATAGTTTCCAGGGCTATAAATCTTTATGGAAGCAGACTGTCACATCTTTCTCCCCTGGAGCAGCTGTTGGTTTCAACTGCTGGCCTTTCTGGTTAGTGGCTTAGTGCTTAACCTCTGTGCCACCAGGGCTGCTTAAGTACAGATCAATGAACTTTTAAGCATAAGAAAGCACCACAGAGGATCCCCTTGACTCAATAACCACCCAAAAACATTAGCTATCACCTGGAACAATGTCTGCGGAAAAAATACTCAGAGAGCTGGGTCAACTGTTAAGACAGTTTTTATTTTATTCTAAAAGTACATGTTCAAATGAGAGAAATTCCTCAGAAGTGCCAGCATTCCTGCAGTATGAGCTGCTCCTTAGTACCACAGCAGAGCCAAGACACGTTTCATTTGACAAAGGTTTTACTAATTTCTGTAAAAAGTGGCCTCCCCATATATAATGGGCTAAACTAAATTTCATCAACTGTGCTTAATGCAGGTGAGTGGAATCAATCTAATCTTCCAAAGTTTAGCAAAAACAAACAACAAAAAGGATGCATAATGCCTCTCTCAAGGGCAAGAGCCTTTACCAACTTAATTTCCTACATGAAGCCGTCATCCCAATCTTGGAATGGAGGGATGATTAACCGATACCAAAAGGCAGCATGCCCAGCAGAAATAGCCCACTACAAATTTGTGCTTTGGACACAAGCCCATGTAGCCACCATATCACTAAGTAAAGCTTTCCTGAGCTCACACTGCCAAAAGGATAATGATGGTCAAAACAACCACTGAACTGTGCTCAACTAAAATCCAGTAACTATCTTTAGCAAGTACTTTTCAAACAATCTTTGAACTCCCAAGACCAGTCCTGCCCTAAAATTACTCCATCAGCCAAACATTTAATATTCTTAAGTAAAATCTGATTCTAACCTAGTTCACACGATTCTCAAAAAGTAGATAAAAAGGAAAATATTAAAATTAAAACTAATACTGCATTAGAGAGTCCTGACTGTACTATCTGTCTGCCCACCTGACCTGTCTGCCTTATTTATCATGTAACTATTAAATGCAGGTGCTTTTCTAGGCCCTCAGGAGCCCTGGTGGCACAAAGTGCTTGACAGCTAACCAAAAGGTTGATGGATCAAACCCACCAGCCGCTCCACAGAAGAAAGATGTGGTAGTCTGCTTCTGTAAAGATTACAACCGTGCAAACCCTATGGAATAGTTCTCTGTCCTATGGGATCGTTGAGTTGGACAGCAAGCAGTATGGGTAGGTTTCTAGGTGCTTAGCATATCAGCAAAAACACAAAGATCTCTGCCCTTGTGCAGCTTATATTCTAGTGGTCTTGGATTCACTTGAGCTTGGTGACTGTGGAACATATCAGTAATTTGTTTTTGCAACTATGTCTGTTATGAATCTGACCATAAAAACACCACACATAATTTCTGATATCACTGTATGGAAATGAAAGTATGGCAAAAATATTTAAATATAGTAGTCTTTATGAGCATTTTGGAATCCCTGAGTAGGACAAATGTTTAAGCCCTGATTATTACCTGAAAGACTAGAGGTTAGAACCCATGGAGAGATGCCTCAAAAGAGAGACCTAGTAATCAGCTTCTAAAAGGTCACAGCTTTGAAAACCCAATGGAGTGGAGTTTCATTCTGCATACATCTGGTTGCCATGATTCCAAACTGACTCAACAGAAACTAACAACAAATGAGAACTTTAAGTTAGCACCATAAAGTCTGTAAAAATTATTTCTTCAAAGAATCGATAGCCAATAAGCAACTAAACTAATTGTGCCTGAAATGGTGTGTGCTTGCCTAATTTTGGTAGTTTGGCTCTTTTGAACACATGAAAGGGAACTACTTCTATACAAACCTCAAGTTTCACGTTTTAAAAAATCAAGTGACAACCCGTAAATTTCACTATCATTTATACCAAGAGAATGCTCTAGATTTAAAAAAAAAACTCTAGTCAATTGATAAAATGTTAAATGCCCTAAAAGTGATATATATTCAAAGTATTTCTAGTATCTGCACATTAGCCAACTGGCTTATAACTATACATAACTGTTTAGACCTGTGCAGTCCAACTATGGTAGCGACTAGCCACATGTGGCTATTGAGCACTTGAAACATGGCTAAGCTAAATTGAGATATCTGTAAGTGTAAAATATACAGCAGAAAAAAAAAGAATGTAAGAGATCTCTTAATTTTTTCTCTTGATTGCATAATAAAGTAACATTTTAGGTATTTTGAGTTAAAACGTATTATTAAAATTAATTTCTCACCTTTTCTTTTACTTTTTTTTTTTTAATGTGACCACTAAAAAATTTTACATTACATAGTTTGCATTCTATTTCTTTTGGACAGCACTGGTTTAAGATAATAGTAGACTTCTAAACACACAGAGCTAATATATGCACTGTGTTCCAGCTGACTCTCAAGATGTTTATACTTAGGTCTTTGTTAGCTTAAATTGCTCAACATCTAATATGTCAAAGTATCAGACATTTAAACATCTTTCTATCAAAATATCAAAGTTTGAGAGTCTAATATGAAATTGTTTAGCAGAGCACTAACAAATATGTGGGTGCCCACTGTATGGAGAGCATTCAATCCATAGTAAAAAGTAACCTGTTCTGCCACACTTCAGTAGAAGAGTCACAAATTCTATATACCGCTAATATGCACTGTGCTCCTACAATCTTCCTAACACCATGCTTTTCTCTCACTGACCCAGTAAAATCTTCACAACCACCCTATTTGGTAGGTACTATTATTAACGCTATGAGTCGGGCCGACTTGATGGCACATAACAACAACAACAACAACATTATTAACACTATTTTAAAATGAATCTGAGGCAGAGAGAGGGTAAGTAACTTTCCCAAAAGTCCCACTGCTACTTAAGCTGTGGAACCAGAATTCCAACCCAGCAGGCCTCATCCAGAACCACCACACATTCTCCCAAATAAAGAACTATCCAAAAACATTATGCCATTACTGTAAATGTTTGAGTTTTAGTTGTGGTATGCATCCATTACAAAAAGTTTATTGAGTAGATGGAGTGTACTTTCTATCCCCACCCTTTCTCAATATCAGGTTAAAGCTGACCACGTGAATTAAATCCCTTACCTTCCCGTGTGTTCAATACTCCCTTTTCCAGAAAGGCCCAATCCCTATTTGTCCTTCATGCTTTACCTTAAACATCATCTCTGTGCAAGCCTCCTCAAACTCCTCACAACTTGGACTAGTTACCTCGCTCCTTGCTTACTCTTTTGTAGCACTTCCAATCTATTGTGATCACCCCTCATTTCAACTCCACTTACTCCTACTGCCTGAAACAGTGCCTAGTATTAGGTACTCAATAAATATGTGCTTGACAATCTAATCACCTGACCTACCCAGCTACCGCTAAAAGTGGAATATTAACAGCTAACTTGGTACAAGGTAAATGCTAATCCACAAGGCAGGAAAACAAGTTTCATGAAATTTATGACAGACGGAGAGAATTTCCCCAAAACCAGGTAAAATTTAAGTATTAAATACTCACTTGCCCAACTTAATTGCAATTAATTTGTTTCATATGAAAATGTATTAAGTAGCTAATAAATATTTTATCTTAAGAATCCAAATCAATTATTTCAATGCTATAAGTTGTTTGAAATCCTTTTAATTTTGGAAATTCCCAGACCCCAAAAACTGTAATTGCTTTTTAAAATCTTAGCAATATAAAATCAGTTACATTTAAGATGGATTTCATTGCACATTTTCATTACGATACTGAGTGTTGGGCTCCAAGTGACAGTGGTACCCATGTGCCCTTTAAGAAAATTATTGTGTGGGAAAAACATGGGTTTCACATACAATTTATTCAATTAGTGTTGATGCCACAAAATTTTCCAACCAGTACCATAAGGGACTTTCCTAGAACCTTCCCTTTTCTTTTCCTCAACAAGAAACCAATTAAAAAGGTCAATCTTTATCAGCTCTTACTCAGAAATACTAAGTAATTCTGAAACATAACATGAAAATACATTAGAAGTCCTTAGGGCTATGACTGGCAAAATACTTTCCCATAAATTCCAGCGCAAAGTAAAAAGGAAGGGAGCAGCTGACTTCATTACACAGCTTTGAGAACAAAAACTGATCATCTCCCTTAGATTCCTATTCCAGTTGTCTCGAATAGAACTGTGCAACAAACATGCCATACACAGAGTACCACCCAAGCGCCAGAGCCTCCGACTGCTTGACACATCAATGGATTAGTCAACGCGGGGCAACTCATTTTACCCCTCTAATTTGCTTTAATTATTCTTTACAAAAACCCTCAAGTTTACTCTAAATTATAACCACATGGAATCTTCTCCTTGCCCCCAAATATAAATTCAGGCCTTTACCAAACGCTAAGAACTGCTTCAATTCCAACCACTGAAATACACCCCTTACAAATATCGTACACCTGGTAACTCCACACAAATACGGAAAAAAGCTAAAAGAAACAGGATTCTGCAACATTGGTAAATACTGACTATGCAATACAGCGAGCACTAAACAGAGTGGGAGACTTGAAAGCAAGAGACCGGATGGAAAGCGTGAGTAGACCCCGCCCCAGTAAGCTCAAAGCCGATTCAAACAGTAACTTGGGTCTGTCGCCGCTTGGCATTGGAATTACCGAAACAAAGGCGTATATTACGGGAAACAAGATGTCTGGAGTAAAAGAAATGGTTTGCAGCTACAGAGACCGTACACCATCCTCCCACAAGTCTTACCTATGGTGGAAATAAAGGTGGTATTGAAGGCATCATCCGAAAAACGAAAAAGGACGCAGGTCTTCCCCACTCCCGAGTCCCCGATCAGGAGCAGCTTGAAAAGCAGGTCGTACGTCTTCTTCGCCATTGGGAGGAGCGGCTCAGGCTCTCACCGCCGGCGGCCCCAAGAGATCGGTCCCTCTCACTACCGCCAACTCCTCACTCCGGCGTTTTCAGGCCGGAAGACCGGGGAAGCGTGGGAAAAAAACGAAGACTAGAGAGGACGTAGGAGACCTGCGAACGGCCTCGTCGAGGAAGCCCCGACGGTGGCGAGGTCCGGTGCCTCCGAGGGCGGCGACCGCAGCTCCGCAGCCTCTCCCAGCCGCTCCGCCCGGTTCCGGGGAGTCGGTCGGGACAAAATGGCCTCCCCTCCCCCCTCAGGACTGCTCGGCCGGGACGCTCCCACGGGCAAGAGAGCAAGCTCTGCCGTCGAGGGAGCGCGGTGAGGGTGAGGACGGTCTTGCTCCCGAGCAGCAACTCCGCGCTAAAACGCGGCGATAGCAGCGAAGGAGGACCCCGAGGCGACAAGCACAGTTACATAGCCACAGGAAGCTCTACCGCCCCGGCCAAAGCCACCTTTTCCCCGTGCCCTCTCACGCCGGCGTGCGCGCTGCCTGAGACGCACGCAAGGACGTACGCCCGCCCTTCCCTCTCGCCCGCACCCTGCGGTCTCCTTCTGCGCATGCGCGCGCGAGAGTGCGTGGGCACCAAGGGGGAAGGTGGAGTGCGCGATTCTCCCAGCCTGTCTAAAGCCAAGCGAAGAAGGAAGATGGGAAAGGCGAGAGAGGGCGAGGGCGAGGGCAAAGCCGCCGGCGCGCTCCCTATGGTCGCGTGGTAGGGTGTTCTGCGTTACGAGCACGCCCTGCGTGTAGGCGCTGCTAGTGACTGCGCAGGCGCAACACGGTGCAGTAACCCCTTGACCCCTCCCGCCCTTCTCGGGGTTGCTCTCCTGGCTGTGCTAGGTGGGACAGCTCATTGTGGATGTCGACCTAAAGTTCTTGGCTCAGCCGGGGTCTTGGTGGCCATGTGTTTCTGTGTAGGTGTAGCTCGTAAACGCGAGAAAAGGCTGTGTCCGGGGTTATTTAATAGCTTCTTTGCTAAAATGAGACGCATCGTGGAGTCCCCTCCCTCATGGGACGGTACTGACAATGGAAAAATTAGAGTTCTGTCCTGGTCTCGGTTTGCTTAAGGAACAAGACGGCTTTCATGAGAACAGGAGTTTGAAATGGAAAAACTGGCCATGCTGCTCAGGTTAGAGTGATGTAATCGTTCTTCCTGGACGAGAACAGAGAGCTGAGAATACTTGGGCGCAAGGAGAACTTCCCCGCGGAGTGCAAGGTTGGGTGCTGTGCTATGCACTGAACACCTGCTCTGGGTTTTTCCTGGCATTTTGGAATCCAGGAGAGCCCACGAGCTCTACACAGGAGGCGGGCCTCTCCCTGCTGCCAGAGTCAAAAATCGAAGAGTGGTGAAGCCTACCCCAACCCCACACAGCCCTCTTCCTTGCACTTTCATTTCATATACCTTACTCCCTTGTCCTGTCTTTCTCTGCCCATCAGTCTTATTCCTTTTTCTTTTTTTCTTTTTTTTTTTTTCTCGTTCCTTTTTCTCTTACTCCTTTCTGTTGCTCACATATTCATACTTCTGCCCTACCCTTCTCACTTGGTGGCTTCGCTCCAAAGCACGCCTAGGATGTGATGGCAGAGTAGTTGAACCTGGTGGGCTGGTTTCACCTAATGTAGTAGAAACACTTGACTGCTAACCAGAAGGCTGGAGGTTCATACCCACCAGCCACTCCTCGGAAGGAAAGTTGCCCATCTACTTCCGTAGTGATACTGCCTTAGAAACCCAAGAAGGGGTCGCTATGAGTCGTTCCTACTCGACGGCACGTAACAACAACAACAATAGAAACCCTGGGACATAAGGAAAGCAAAAGACAAGGATTGGGGGAGAGGAAACGGCAGGGAAGTATAAACTACACTTTTACCTTTCCCCACATGTTTGTGTATTTAGTATACAATTAAAACTGATCTTTCAGGCAATTAGGATAGTCATATTTCGTTCTATTGCTTAAGGACGTCTTACATTCTTCCTTCGGGACCATCCCTAAACCTTCTTTGCTGAAGATGCTTGTCTTCTCTAACACATCTAGCTCTTCAGTTCATCTCTCTGATTGCTTTTCTTAGTCCTGTCACTTAAACCCTCTTAACCACTATTTGTCATTCTTTCTCCAGGTAAGAATGTCTTGTTATGATAATACCAACAATTCTAAAATAATGTTGTTAGGTGCCGTCCAGTCATCTCTGACTCATGGTGATCCTATGTACACGAGAACAAAACACTGCCAAGTCCTGTTCCAGCCTGATGATCCTTGCTATACCTGAGCCCATCATTGTAGCCACTGTGTCAATCCATCTCATTTAGGGCCTTCCCCTTCTACATTGACCCTCCACTTTACCTAGCATGATATCCTTCTCCAGGGAATGGTACCTTCTGGCAACATGACCAAAGTAGGTGAGACAAAGTCTGGCCATTCTCACTTCCAAGGAGCATTCTGGCTGCACTTCTTCCAGGACAGATCTGTTAGTCCTTTTAGCAGTCCATGGTACTCTTAGCATTCGTCTCCAACACCACAACTCAAAAGCATCAACTCTTCTTCGGTCTTCCTTATCCATTTTGCAGCTCTCACATGCATAAGAGGTGATTTAAAATACTATGGCTTGGATTAGGTGCACCTTAGTCTTCAAGAAGACGTCTTTGCTCTTCATCACTTGAAAGAGGTCTTTGGCAGCAGATTTGCCCAATGCAATATGTCATCTGATGTCTAGACTGCTGCTTCCATTGGTGTTGATTGTAGAACCAAGTAATATGAAGTCCTTGACAACTTTAAGCTTTTCTCCATCTGTCATGAAGCTGTTTATTGGACCAGTTGTGAGGATTTTTTTTTTTATATTGAAGTGTAATCCATACTGCAGACTGTATTCTTCAGTCTTCATCAGTAAATGCTTAACGTCATCCTCACTTTCAGCAAGCAAAGTTGTGTTATCTGCATATCGCAGGTTGTTAATGAGTCTTCCTCCTATCCTGATGCCACGTTCTTCTTCATAAAATCCACCTTTTTGGATTATTTGGTCAGCATACAATTTGAATAAGTATAGTGAAAGGATACAACCCTGACACACTCCCTTCCTCATTTTTAAACTATTCAGTATCCCCTTGTTCTGTTCAGACGACAGCCTCTTGGTCTATGTACAGGTTCCACATGAGTACAATCAAGTGTTCTGGAATTCCCATTCTTCTCAATATTACCCATAATTTGTTATGTTGCACACAATTGAATGCCTTTGCATAATCAATAAAACATAAGTAAACATCTTTCTGGTATCTTAGCTGAAAGCAAAGATCCATCTGATGTCACCACTGATATCCCTCACTCCATGTCCCCTTCTGAATCCAGCTTGCATTGCTGGAAGCTCTCTGTCAATATATTGCTGCAACCATTTTTTAATTATCTTCAGGAATATTTTATTTGTATGTGATATATACTGTTCAATAATTTCCACATTCTATGGATCACCTTTTCTTTGTAATGGGTACAAATATAGATCTCTTCAGTTGGCCAGATAGCTGTCTTCCAAATCTCTTGGCATAGATGAGTTAGTGCCTCCAGCGCAGCATCATTTGTTGAAACATCTCAATGGGTATTCCGTCAATTCCTGGAACCTTTTCTTTGCCAATTCTTTCAGTGCAGGCTCGACTTCTTCTTTCAATACTGTTAGTTCTTAATCATATGCCATCTCCTGAAATGGATGAAGATCGACCAGTTCTTTTTGGTACAGTGACTCTGTGTATTCCTTCCATCTTCTTTTGATGTTTCCTGCATCATTCAATATTTTGCCCATAGAATCTTTCAGTATTGCAACTCAAAGCTTAAATTTTTCCTTCAGTTCTTTCAGCTTGAGAAATGCCGAGTGTGTTCTTCCCTTTGGTTTTCTAACTCCAGGTGTTTGCACATTTCATTATAATAATTGGCTTTGTCTTCTTCAGCTGCTCTTTGAAATCTTCTGTTCAGCTCTTTTATCTTGTCATTTCTTTCATTTGCCTTAGCTACTCTTTGCTCAAGGGCAAGTTTCAGAGTCTTTTCTGACATCTAGTCTATTCTAAAATAGACTAGCTATATTGTTAGCTGCCATCCAGTCAACACTTGACCACCTTATGTACAAAGAGTGAGACTTTGCTCTGTCCTGCATCATTCTCAAAATCACCAACATGTTCAAGTCCATTGTTGTGGCTATTGTGCCAGACCATCTCACTGAGGGTCTCACACACTCTCATTGGCCCTCTCCTTCACCAAACATGATGTCCTCTTCTAGTGATTGATCCCTACTGATGATACATCCAGCGCAAGCAAGTCATACAGTGTTCTGTTGTGATCCATAATGTTTTCATTAATTTTCAGCAGTAGATGTCCAGGTCTTTCTTCCCTAGTGTGTCTGGAAGCTCTGCTGAAACCTGTCTACCATGGGTGACCCTGCTGGTATTTGAAATACTGATGGCATAGCTTCCATCATCATAGCAACATGTAAGCCACCTCAGTACCACAAAGTGACACGTGCATGGTGGAGACTAGCTATGTAAATCACAAAATAAATTATGGTCAGTGCTTCACAGGTTTGTAATCAATTCAGATCCATAGATTTGAAAACTTCAGGAAAATGCTCAGTGTTAGCTTAATCCTTCCTTTCAAAATAAGGTCAGTTCACTCAAGCCCCCATATTGTAAAGCATTGCAGCAATGTTACTATTTTTTAATGTAGAATGTCTCATTTGGAGAGTGTGGTGGTTTTGTTTGTGTGTCAACTTGGCTAGGCCTGGTTGAGTGACTGGGCAGCTGGATATAGTATTCCCCATGATGAGACTGGTAATCAACTCCATGGTGGAATCTACTGAGAGAAGCTGAGTAGCTGCCTTTGGGTATGTGGTCTGCTTCCTGTATTTAAGCAGAAGCCTTTGGGAATGGTCTCTAGCCTTTGGCATGCTTGGACCCTGCATGTAGCCATGTCGTTGCTCAGCAGCCTGCTATGCTCTGCTGATCTTGGCACTAACAGTGGACTTAAGTTAATGGCCTGCCATGTGGATTGGTAACGTTGGGACTGTGCCTTTTTACTTGTCAACCTTGGAGCTTCTCAACCTCAGCAGCCAACAGCTGTCTGAGTGAAGAAATGCCTCTAGCTCCAGTGGACTGGGAGCAGGAGGCAAAGCTCGACCCCGAGGTTGAGGGGCTTTCACCCAGCCCCTAGAGCTGGCACTTTGAACTTGGACTTAAAGCCTCCAAATTTTAAGAATAAACTCTTGTTTGTTAAGGCCATCCCATTTGTGGTATATTTCTTGTCAGAGCAGCACTAGGTAACCAGAACAGAGAGTAATACCACTATGTAAACTTTGAGATTTGTTAAAAATAATCAAAATTAAAAAGAAATTGAAACATAAGATAAAGTTTATCGTAAACAGTTATTCTTTTTCCATATAGGTAGACCATTCTGATTCCAAACAAACCAACCAGCGGAAGTAGGCTAGTTATAATGAAGCTTATCAAGGGAAGAGGAGGGAGAACAATAGAAGATCAAATGTTGACTAATGTTAACATGATTAATTGAACCCTGCCCTCCCCCTTTTACTGACATCATCTGATACTTGGTTACAAGGTACTCTCTGGGGGGTCCACCTACCTGCAGGTCTGATATATTTTGGAATTGAAGTAAGCCTGACTTTGAACAAGATAGAAAAGATTAACAATTTTGTGGGACAGAGAGAGGGGAAAGCTGTTGGTGGAATTAGATTTTGGACAAGAATT